TCACGTACCATGACTCGTTGTTGCCTCCCTATCAGGTATTCTCTGATCCATTGCAGTGCCTTTCCTGTTATGTGTGCCTGATCCTCTAGCTTTTGCAGTAACCTCTTGTGAGGAACTGTGTCGAAGGCCTTCTTTCAGTTCAAAAAAATGCAGTCGATCCACCCCTCTCTCTCTTTTCTTACTTCTGTCACCTTGTCATAAAACTCTAGTAGGTTTGTGACACAGGATTTTCCTTCCCTGAAACCGTGCTGGTTGTCAATTATACCCTTGTTTCTTTCCAGGTGCTCCATCACTCTCCTCCTGATGATCTTCTCCATGACCTTGCATACTATACACGTTAGTGATACAGGTCTGTAGTTTAGTGCCTCATGTCTGTCTCCCTTTTTAAAAATTGGGACTACATTTGCCATCTTCCATACCTCAGGGAGTTGCCCAGTTTCAAATGATGTGTTGAAGATCTTTGTTAATGGCACACACAGTATCTCTGCTCCCTCTTTAAGGACCCATGGAGAGATGTTGTCTGGTCCCACCGCCTTTGAGGTGTCAAGTTCGCCTAGCAACTTCTTCACCTTCTCCTTGGTTATATGTACCTCATCCAGCACTTGCTGGTGTACCCCCCCCCCCCTCCAGTTCTGATTTCCTGGAGTCCTACTGGTTTCCACTGTAAATACTTCTTTAAATCTCGTGTTGAGCTCCTGACATACCTCTCGGTCGTTTCTTGTGAACTCCCCATCACCCTTCCTCAGTCTGATTACCTGGTCCTTGACTGTTGTTTTCCCCCTGATGTTGCTGTACAACAGCTTCGGGTCAGTCTTGACTTTCGATGCTATGTCATTTTCATATTGTCGCTGAGCCTCCCTTCTTATCTGTGCATATTCGTTTCTGGTTCTTCGGCTAATCTCTTTATTTTCCTGAGTTCTCTGTCTTCTGTACCTTTTCCATTCTTTAGTACACCTGGTTTTTGCCTCCCTACACCTTTGGGTGAACCAAGGACTGGTTCTGTTCTTCCCATTATTTCTGTTTCCCTTGGGAACAAACCTCTTCTCTGCCTCCTTGCATTTTGTTGCCACATAGTCCATCATTTCTTGTACTGGTTTTCCTGTCAGTTCCCTCTCCCACTGAATGTCTTGAAGAAAGTTCCTCATGCTGAGTAGTTCCCCCTTTTGTAGTTTGGTTTTTCCCAACGTATTCCTGCTACTCTCTCCACTTGGAGCTCAACTATGTAGTCGAAGCACAGAACCATATGATCACTAGCTCCCAGGGGCCTTTCATACATGATATCCTCGATGTCCGAACTACTCAAGGTGAATACAAGGTCCAGTCTTGCTGGTTCATCCTCTCCTCTCTCTCTGGTAGTGTCTCTAACATGTTGATGCATGAGGTTTTCCAGTTCCACATCCATCATCTTGGCTCTCCATGTTTTGGGATCTCCATGGGGCTCCAGGTTTTCCCAGTCAATCTCCTTGTGATTGAAATCACCCATAACTAGTAACTTTGCTCACCCATGTGTGCTCTCCTGGCCACCTCGGCTAGTGTGTCGACCATTGCTCTGTTGCTCTCATCATATTCTTCTCTTTGCGTCCTGCAGTTCTGTGGTGGGTTGTACATTACTGCAATTATCATCTTATGTCCCTCAGACTGGATTGTTCCCACTAAGTAGTCCCTTTCGCCCGTGCCATCCATTCCTTCCATTTTCTCAAAACCCCACTGGTTTTTAATGGGCAGTGCAACTTCTCCTCCCCCTCTCCTCCCTCTGTCTTTCCTGAGGATTTGATATCCGGATGGAAAGATTGAATCTGTTATTATTCTGGTGAGTTTTGTTTCAGTGAGTGCTATTATGTCTGGGGATGTCTCCTTGATTCTTTCATGCCACTCCTCATACTTATTTGTTATTCCATCTGCATTTGTATACCACACCTTCAACTTCTTTTCTAAGACTGTGGTCTGGGAGGTATATTGGGGTTGGGGAAGTGGGAGACCTGATAATGAACTATGGGTGGTTGCTGTGGGGGTGGAGTTTGTAATGCAGTGGGTGGGGGCATTGGATGTGACATGGGTGTTTTGGTTTAGAGTGTTTGGTTGCACTGGGGTTGACCTGGTTGGGAGGCTTCTATAGGAAGTTGTGAGGGAGGCTGTATTTGATCTTCCTGGGTCTGGGATCTCCTGTCTGTCTTCTCCATCCCCTTTCTTTCCTCCTTTCGCCTTTGTACCATCTCTCTCAGTTTCTGCCTTTCTTCTTGTGTTCTGTCATGGTTGAGATACACCTTCCTGTATGCCGGCATGTCCCTTAATCGTGCTTTCTCCTGCAGGATCCTGTTCCGAGTCAATTCTGACTTGAAGGTCACTTTCACTGGCTGGGTTCTTTTTTTTACAAACCCCCCTATTCTCCGAAAATTTTCGAGCTGGGTCATGTCGTCTTCTCCTATTGCTTTTATGATGCTTTCAATTACTTTTTTTCCCCTTGTTTTCTTGCTTCATATGTTTCCCCTTTAACTTCCTGGAGCCCATACACAAAGTCTGACCTCACCCTTTCATTCTCCCACTGCATATCCTTGTGTATCCCCTCAGTCAATTTAATTTCCTCAATTGCAGCTTTCCTTTCTTCAGTTTCACTAGCTAATGTTCTTGGGCTCAGTGGCCTGTCATTTTCCCTTCTCGGCTTTCCCTGGGCTCTTCTGTGGTCTGTTAGGGCCTCCACATATAGCTTAGCTCTTTCATTTACTACAGTCTCCTCTGATAGAGCTTCTACATGCAGTTTTGCTCCTTCCTTCCCTACAGTCCCCTTATTTGTGACTGAGGTACCAGTCTCTGATGTCAATCCCAAAATGTTCTTTAGTTCTTTAGGCTGTTTCAGATTTTTCAGTTCCTCTTCTAAACTCTGTATCCTAGCCTCTGCTGCTTTGACTTGCACCTCCCACTTCCTGCTTTCCATATCTATCCTCTCTTCCATTCTCATGCTAAGTTCTTCTAGTTTCATTTCCCATCCATGTTCCCTTTTTATGAGCTCTGCTGCCAAATCTTCCTTTGCAGCTTCCTCCTCCTGTCCCTTGGTTTTTCTTCCTGCTCTCTGGCAACCCATTTTTGTTTTATCCTGATTACCTCACAGTGGGAAACCTATGTAATTCTGTGTGTTAGGTTAGTAGTGTGTATGTCAGAGTGTGGGGCGGGGGGGAAGGTAGAGGAGGAACTGTGGCTATGTGGGAGAGGAGTGGGGAGGGGATTTAGGGGGGAATATGGGGAGTGGGAAGGAGGGAGAAGCAAGTGCGTGAGTGGGAGAGGGAGAGGGGGAAGGAGGGAGGGGTGAGATCAGGGGAAGGAGTGAGATGTTGGTGGGGAGGGGGGGAGTGTATGTGTGAGTCTGGATATGTGTGTGTGTGTGTGTGTGTGGTGTGTGTGTGTGTGTGTGCGTGTGTGTGTGTGTGTGTGTGTGTGTGTGTATGTGTGTGTGTGTGTGTGTGTATGTGTGTGTAATTATGTGTGGAATTGTGTGGGTTTATTATGTGTCAGAAAAGTAGGTGAGTTGTCATTGGAGTGTAATGTGGAGTCTCAGTGGTCGCTTGTGACCACAACCTCTTGTGACCTGACCCCCATCCTCCTGGGACTTGACCCGCACCTGCTTACAATGTTGCCTATGCTTGTCCTGCCACCTAGCTTATAGTAAGTTACTCCCCTTGTTCAATGGATTACCAATTGCTATTCCTTATTGAATACTTGAGTGCCTATTCTTTATCGTGCTATGAGAGACCATTCACTATCAGCTTGGCGGTTAATTGGAACCTGACCCACACCCAAACCACCACTCATAGGTGAATACAGTACTTGCAATGCAGCTGTAGCAGCCTGTAGATTGTCCAGCTCGATGTGACCCTGGCGTAGATCCACCTCAATTTCTTCTCGTTAATAATGTACCCTATTCACTGTATTTCTCTCACTGTCACACGATTGTTTCACTTTATTATCTTTCTTGGGTGACACGTGACAACGTCGCCTTACACACTAGCCTGCCCACTCTGGGCCACAACGTTTTTATTTTCTAGATCACTTACAAAATTGTGGCTCTCCCCACACTTATGTGGCTCAGGCAGATTAAAAATCGCTTCTAGGATTGTTCACTACCCTGACACACTTTGCAACCCTTGCAGAACACTTGGGTAGCCCTCAAAAACACTTATATTCGTGGAGCACGGAAGGCGTGACTCGCGCCCTCGGTGTCCCTACTGTGTGTGTGTGTGTGTGTCTATGTGTCTGCACTCACCTAATTGTACTCACCTAATTGTAGTTGCAGGGGTCGAGACTCAGCTCCTGGCCCTGCCTCTTCATTGGTCGCTACTTGGTCTTCTCTCTCCCTGCTCCATGAGCTTTATCATACCTCGTCTTAAAACTATGTATGGTTCCTGCCTCCACAACATCACTTGCCAGACTATTCCACTTCCTGACAACTCTATGACTGAAAAAATACTTCCTAACATCCCTTTGACTCATCTGAGTCTTCAGCTTCCAATTGTGACCCCTTGTTTCTGTGTCCCCTCTCTGGAACATCCTGTTTCTGTCCACCTTATCTATTCCTCGCAGTATTTTGTATGTTGTTATCATGTTTACCCTAACCCTCCTGCCCAATTTCCCTTCGTAGGACATTAACCTTAGCTCTGGAACTAACCTTGTTGTGCGTGCATGCTTGCGTGAATTTATAGGAATTTGAAATAACCTACAATAACATCGTTATAGAGGGTGAAACACAACGTTCTCGTATGGGTGGGTTGCTGCAGTAAGCATTAAGAGACTGGCTTGAGACATTAGTTATCTGTTCATAGCTGTCAAGTTTGTGATATATCAGCCTGACGACTGAGGGAATATTTTCACTCTTTAAGTGACTGGCTTGAGACATTAGTTATCTGTTCATAGCTGTCAAGTTTGTGATATATCAGCCTGACGACTGAGGGAATATTTTCATTCTCGTTTACTGATTAGCTTAAGGTGGCCAGCGATACCATTACCCTTACCTGCTAGTTGTTGTTGATGACAGCCTCCGTTGTTAAAACATGTTAATGTAACGAGCACCAAAGTAGCCAGTCTAGCAGTAGACCCCACCATCTTCACTACCTTTTCTCTGGCTTCTCCTTCACTACTGGCTCTCCTAGACTATATCACACTTCAAACCTTATCACTAAGCATGTCACCTTGCGGAAATGTCGATATAATCAATACAAAGATTCCTGAAGTGAATTAAAAATGCATGCATCAAATATAAAATGTAAATTATTCTTTAAAGAAAACTTAATTAATCGGACTTAAGCTGGATAAATTCACATTTTGAAAGATATAAAAATATTACTACTGGAACAAGCTATCAAGCAGCTTGCTAAAGCAAAATCTGTGGGTGGCAGATCTACCTATACCTACCTTCCTCTGCCCAGCAAAGACTTCGCGGATCTGATTAATCTTTTATCAAGTGTAACTGTTGTAGCTTAGGTAAACAGAAATACAAACAATATTTTGAAATGGTCATCAGCACAGTTTTAACAACCTTTTTTTGGAGCACCTCAAGGCAAAACATTTTATGCTAGCCATCACCACAACATAACGTGGCTACGTTACATGGGCGACACAGTCATATTTTCCTGGAAGGTTAAGCATTCCAACCAGACTTAACACCATCAACAGTATAGAGTCTGCCAGAAAATTTACTATCGAAGGAGACAGCAACAACCAGCTTACATTTTTAGATTTATTCCTAAACGTTGGCGATGACTGGGTAACCTTCAAAATTTACAGGACCCAACAATGAGGACTTCGTAAATTTCCATTCACACCATGACACCAGGATCACGAGAGGCGTAAGCTTTGGATATTTCTTGAGAACATACATGATTGCTAGTCCAGACTATAGGAAGTCCAAACTATAGATAGTCCAGACTATAGCTAGTCCAGACTATAGCTAGTCCAGACTATAGCTAGCCCAGAGTATAGTTAGTCCAGACTATAGCTAGTCCAGACTATAGCTAGTCCAGAGTATAGTTAGTCCAGATTATAGCTAGTCCAGACTAAAGTGGGGTGCAACGAAATTACTGGAATATTCAACCACCTGTAGTCCCAGACACATTTCATCTCAGATTGAAGGAAACGCGTCGTCAGCATTAATGTAGCACCGTGATCTACCATTACCATTAAGAAGTTGGTCAGAAAAAGAGGTTGACGATGACAATCGAGACTGGAGCCGTTGTGTTCAGAGACCGTCACAGCGCTGAAAAAGAAATGAATTAAGGAACATAAATAAGCAAGTAGCCATGCCAACGAAAGCTCCTCGTGTGTGAACATCGTAGTACACAAGGAAATCTCATGGAATAAGTTAGTTTAACATCTTTATTATGCACTCCATACCCATCCTGTGGGCGGCTTATATAGAATGAAGCTAGTCAGATAACCAGATGTATTACTGTCTCTGTGATGTCCCTGGTATCCTGTGCTGCAGTACCCCTGACTGAATAGTGCAGAGTGAGGCACAAGTTGATAATAAAATTTTGCATTAACTTTAACAAAATTGAAGAGAATCAGAGAAGACATTCACTGGTCACCATATGGAAACTAATACCCAAATTTCTTAAAAAAAAACTGATAAATTAGAATAAACACAAATAGAAACTAATTGAAATCTTTCAGGGCAACAAGAAGACCAGTATCCTAAAATATATAATATCCTAAAATATACAATATCCTAAAATATATAATATCCTAAAATATACAATATCCTAAAATATACAATATCCTAAATTATACAATATCCTAAAATATACAATATCCTAAAATATACAATATCCTAAAACAACATCCTAAAATAAACAATATCCTAAAATATACAATATCCTAAAATATACAATATCCTAAAATGTAAAATATCTTAAAATATACAATATCCTAAAATATACAATATCCTAAAATATACAATATCCTAAAATACACAATATCCTAAAATATACAGTATCCTAAAACATACAATATCCTAAAATATATAATATCCTAAAATACACAATATCCTAAAATATATAATATCCTAAAATACACAATATCCTAAAATACACAATATCCTAAAATATACAGTATCCTAAAATATACAATATCCTAAAACATACAATATCCTAAAATATACAATATCCTAAAATATACAATATCCTAAAATATACAATATCCTAAAATATACAATATCCTAAAATATATAATATCCTAAAATACACAGTATCCTAAAATACACAATATCCTAAAATACACAATATCCTAAAATACACAATATCCTAAAATACACAATATCCAAAAGTAAAAAATATCATAAAATACATAAAAACCAAAAAAACACAATATCCTAAAATACACAAATCCTAAATTTTAAAAATTTATAAAATACATAATATCCAAAAAACACAATATCTAAAGTAAAAAATATATAAAATAAAATATCCTAAACAACAATATCCTAAAACAACAATATCTTAAAATATGCAATATATTAAAATATACAAATCCTAAAATTACAATATCCTAAAATAAAAATATCCAAAAATAGGAGAATTAGTGTGCACTCCTAGCAAGTTTACTCCCAGGGGGGAATAATACCTGTATTTCCGTGTGCAAAAAAATAATAATGAACTTTTCTTTGTAAGGAAAAAAAGTCTCCCTGAAACATTGTGTATACATAGTGTAAAGTGTTACTACATGGCCCCCTAGTATAAGATGAAAAAGGCAAAAGTGTCATTAAAAACAGGTGAATTTGAAAATGAGGATAACCTATAAGGCAGGTGCCAGAAGTCCCAGAAATTACCCGTGGCCCTGTTCAAATAATTTCCTGGCCTGTAGTGTACCCCATTAACTAGTGATCCCTTGAATAGCAAATACACTTTTGTAGTACAACTAACCAGTTTTAATGGAAAATTAGGGGGGGAAGTGACTTTCATTAGTTTCTTTTTTTTGAAATACAGACGTTACTGTGAATTTCTAAAAACCTGTATTACCAGGGTCGCAATATAACAAAAGAAAAATTATTACTACAGAAAAAAGTCCTTCCCCAAAAATTTTCCCACCAGTCAACTATATATAAATATAGATTTTTGTGGTGGGACGAAAAAAAAAACTAGAAAAGCTAGATACAGCGATTGATAAAAAAAGGGGTTTGAGGCTCGACCGTTCGTCATGTGGAGCTGCCAAAATCACGGTTTTCAACACCAAGTTATATTTTTTGTATCAATCAAATCACATATTACTCGGGTAGATAATTTCAAGTAACCTTCAGTGTAAGCACAAATCCCCGCCTATGTTTTAAATAAGTGCCCCACTGATCAGATAAACTGGTCCGAACCCTTAAAAGGCCGAACCCTTGACTGGTCTGAACCCCTTGACGGGTTACAAAGGGGGTTTTTCGTTGGACAATAAAGTAAACTGTAAAGGGATGGGGTTGTAGGCCCCCTTATAAACAAAAAAATAAATAAAAAACGGAACGTACATGGTAAGCTGTCCAAATACATACAGTTAGAAATAAAAAATACAAATAGCTAAGCTTCATTTAAGGAGGTTTTTAAATAGAGAAATAAAGAGGTTGCTATAAAATTTAAGTAAATCAACCATTCAAATATTATGAAGCTCTGTTAGTCTAGGCTCAAAAAAAAAGGGGCTTCCACAGGAAAATTGTCATTTTCGTGGAAATTGGTGAAAACCCCCTTGTGCAGATACCAAGAACTAGCTACAAGCAGATTAAAACAGGGGAATTTTTTTTGGGGTATGCCCAAATGAGAAAATCTGTGGAAAAATCAAAAAGGGTATTAAAAGGGATAACAAAAGCTGTTTCATAGACAACCGGGAAAGCTTTTACAACAGATGGGAACATAAAAATGGGGGCTGAAGGGTAACCCTTGATAGGGCCATGTAGTCAAAACTGTAAGGCTGGAGGTATGTCCTGGTAGTAAAAAATTTTGGGGGTGATTGCGCCTGGAGACAGAAAAGGTGAAGCGGGAGGTGCTGCCCTGGGAGCAGTAATGGTGAAGCGGGAGGTCTGTCCGGGGAGCCCGTAATGGTGAAGGGGGGTGCATCCGGGGAGACAGAATGGTGAAGGGGAGGGCTGCCCGGGAGACAGAAATGGTGAACTGGAGGTGCTGCCCTGGGGAAAACAGTAATGGTGAAGCTGGAGATTTTTCAGTGTCGGGAATTATACGCGGGAAGGGGAATAATTAAATACCTCTGGGGGACAGGAGCCTATGGGGAAACAAGTGAGTCAAAATAAGAAAAAACCCAATATTGCAAACTAGAAATCCCACGGGAAAAAACAAACAAGAGGACCCACTACAATAGGGGATATTTACCAAAACAATGGTGGGGCTCCATTGATGGTGTTTAGGGGGATAGAATAAAAGGGGAAACTTTTGCCCCAAACAGGGAATACAGTCACAAAAACCCCAAGGCAAACGGAAACCAACCCTGTGCACTAATGCACTTGGTTCTCTACAGGGGAAATCGGGAAAAACGACGGGGACGTGAAACTATGACCCCCTAGAAAAGCCATCCATATGACAGAGGAAAATGCAACCCCCCCTTCCTGAAAAGCTTTTTCCCCCTGAAATGTTACCTCTTCGTACAGGAAAGACTGTGCTATAATTAAATTGCCAGGCACCCATCAAAGGGGACAAAAAGTACAAAAACCCCCGGGCCATGGGAAAACCTGGGTAGCCCACCCACTAAAGGGGGAAAAGGTTTTTTAGTGCAGGAAGGAAAAAAAAAAACTGCAAAAAGGGCAAAAAACGTACACCAATCCAGCATTCCTGGGGTGGGAAACAGTCGATGGCCCATCCAAACCACGATACAATACTAATCCGAAAAAAAACCCCCCCGAGTACCCAAAAATACCACCCGTCGATGACATTTTTCTTGCAAATAACAGGGCAAAGTCACAACAACAAAAAATACCTTTCACCGTGGACGTTTCAGAGGGAAAGGCAATGTTCGCGGGCTTTTACTGGACCCCCATAAAAAATCACTTGGAAACGAAATATGGGGTCCCCGGTTTTTAACCCATCAGAGTGACAGAGTGAACGGCAAAAAGGGGGGGGGGGTTGACCGTACATTGCAGAGTCACTGTTTGGGACAAATGAAATGCCTCAAATGATGTAGTGGAAATTT